CTGTGACTTCTGACCCAAAGCCAATATTGTTTTGCCCCAATCACCGTTGTACACCTTCCTCTCGCAAGGTTACTTTCGCACTCACGCTTACATTTTGGAGAGAAAAATCGAATCCAGCCAGAGCGAAAGTTCAAAAGCGAGATCGGAGATTTTCTCAAAATTTGGGCGGAAAGTGGATCATATCGCTCTAAAATATTGTTTTGCCCACTCATCATTTTACAACTTCCTTTCGTGAAGTCACTCTCGCACTCACGCCTACATTCTGGAGAGAAGAATCGAGTCCACTCTGAGCAAAAACTCCCAAAAGAGAGATTTTCACAGACTTTCTCAAAGTTCGACCGAAAAGTGGAAAATAGTTTCAAAAATAACTCAACTAACATGAATGGGAAGAACGAGAGCATAATGAATACGAGAATACTAATAATAATAAAAGAATACTAATAATAAAATAATACGGGATGGGATGTGAGCGGATCCATAAACGGTATATGATTCTAACTATAATTAACATTGAGTCGCCATCTCACATATTTCAACACACTTGGCACGCATTTGCGTGTTTCAACATAACTATTGCAGCAGCAGAGCGTACCCTGCGTGTCGTCGTCTCTCTCGTTCGCGCAGGGACCTCTGCGCTCTCCTGACCTCATGGTCGCACTGTCGCGTCTCTACACAATAAGGCCGCGCGTTCGGCAACTAGCGTGTACTCAAAACAAACGTTGAAGCATACATGTGGGCGGACCAACCTCGCCGTCTCGTTTTTTGGGATCGGGTTCATATTATAGGAGAAGATTTGAAGAAATGCGATAACAAGCGAAAAGAGTGAGGATATTGCAACGTAGTGCATTTCTAGCATCTATATAATCGGCTTTTTAACTTAAGGTATCTTTTTTAAAACTCACTTTTGCAAACGTAAAACACATAAACGCTCTAAATGGTACTAAATCTGAAGCTTACAAAAATTATGATTCATATCTGCGGTGTTCGCCCTCAGCGGATACAATATTTCGCAATGCTTGAGCCATGAAATACCGTATCCCTAGGCATCAATGGCTGACGAGCTTGGGAAAATGTTATAAATGTAATCTTGTACAAAGTATTTTTACATTTACTCTGCAATCGAGTGATTGAGTAGCAGATTTGATTCAGCTACAACTTTCTAGCAGAGTTTATCTAACACGATGTTATTTTCGCAATCTTCAAGCTAGGAAGTCAAGAGTTGATTTCAGGGGTAAGTGATCATGCGAATCATGTTGTTTATGATCACTATGATTATGAGCAAAATAATCACTATTGAGCTTGACTTGTATTTTCTACTAGAAAATAAGTGGTCACTTCGTTCATGAAAATTTATTCCTATCAATATCAGCATCCAATTTATTAGGTTTACCGATTTTCGTAAATTGCAAATTAGGAAGCTGGGAGTTGCTTCATGTAGCTAACAAGGAAGGCCCGTTTAGTCGAAGTGGTCTTCTTAAATGAATCTTATACCGTTTTGCAAAGCATTAACACGTTGACGACCGCGGCATTTTGGACGAAACTCACACTAACGTCCTTCGCGCATTTGGCCCATGCATACGCGCGTATGCACGAAGACATTATGTGGGACTCTTTTTGACGCTTATTCATAAAAAATGTAAACGTCAGAGGAGCATGTATATCACAGAGTCTTACTAGGACTTTCACAAATCAACGTTTTTTTTGCCTCGATTTCCCCTCCAATATACCATGCCATATCTAGATCTGAGCAATCCTTTTTCGAGAAAAGCGTTGTGATAACAGGTTTTTTGTCTAATCCATCCTTGTTTGGCTTTCAAGACAGCTACACAGAGTTTCTACCTTCTCGGAAAAACGTGATTAACATGTATTTACCACATCAAAAGCGGACATACTACCCAATTTTGCGGCCAAAACTTCTGAACAGCTGACGCGATGCCCTGTGTTCTTTAAGACAACCAGGGCACTAATAGTACTACTGCATAAAAGTTACCTTAAAACTTCTCTACACCCAAAAAACCAGCGTGCATATGCGCGGATGCACGAAGTTGCTAAACGGGAGTTAGGGCATGCATATGTGCGTATGCACAAGGTCGTCAACGTGTTAAACGCCAATTTTAATCTGTTACTATTTGCCAAGCACCTCTGAACGCCGAGCTGTGAGTGCTTTTTGGAGCAAATGAACGCAGAATTTGGGTAAAATTAACCGTTATGATCTTTTCAGCGCTCAAGCAGAGGAGTCTCAAGGTTGATTGTACTAGAAGAAAGTTACGCATTGACGAAGTGCTTTGGTAATTAAGACTAGGTCATTTAGCAGTTCTGGGTTTTTGTTTGAGTTGCGCCTTCAAATTTCCAGCCCCAGAAACGTTCATAACTCGGCGGTTGGAAGCTTTTGGCAGATAATGAAAAACAGTGAACCAACTTTTATTGCTCTTTAAAGTGGTATAGGATCACAGGAAAATGTCACATTGACTAGGCGGACTTCCTTGTAAGTAATCTTGACGATTTTTTACAACGCAGTTAAGCCCCCTCAACAAGCCAGTTCCGGACAAATTGTCGGCTTAGGAGTTTCGCTTACCTGGAGTTATCCTTCCTGCTGAATACAAGAATGCAGCTTGAAGTTGCAGTCGAAATTGCTGGAAATGGGTTATTCAACTCTTGACCCTGAACTTGGACGTATGCAGCCAAGGTTATGCAGAGTTGCTGTGAGACTAGGTTTTGACTATGCGATATGTGCATTATCGTACAGTTTGACGACGGCGCCGCCCCAAGTGGAGTCCAATTTGCCTCGTTATTGTCGTACCTGGCCGGACGTGCCTTCAAAGGCAGCGACTCGGCAGAATTTAATTTTCCAGATTTTCACCTTTTCGGGGCTTTCTCGCATGAGAAGCCCATGTCTGGGCTTTTCAGCGCATGAAAATGGCAAAAATGAGCTTTTTCAGAAGCTTTCTAGGTCCGCATTCAGTGGAAAAGTGGGCGGGGCGTGGAACGGGGAAGGCAGGACGCAGCTTTTTCTGGCGTATTTTTACTGAATTTGGATAGAAAGCTTGAAAAAAGCTCATTTTCGCCATTTTCATGCGCCGAAAAGTCCAGATATGGTTTCCCATGACGAGAAGGCCCGAAAAGGTGAAAATCTGGGAAACGAAATTCTGCCGAGCCGCTGCCTTCCAAACAGGCCAAATTGGGAAACGATGGTATTCCAGCATTCCCCGGAAGGTAGTCCATTCCAACTAGTAGCTGTAACGTTTTATACAAGGAGCTACGTCACCAAACATGCGGCTGAGCTGCGCTTGACTTTGAGTCGATGCGCGTTTCAGACTCCTGTAAACCAGAGTCAACTGAATCCATGTTCGACTATCCATAAATCTTGGCATAGTTTGAATCTTCTGATTAGTTTCTTTAGCAGCGTCCAAGATTGGTACAGATATTTATTCCACAGTATACAGACTGACGTTTCGGCAAACTCGCCTTCTTCAGAGTCTGAAAAGTCGAAAACACATAAGTGAACTATCCGATCAAACACCTTATCGACTACAGAAAAGAGCCCAACCCTCCAGACAAGCAACAGTATCAACCAAAACGCAAGATTAAGCTGGTGCTCACCTTAACAGATGATAGATTTAGTGGGTGCAGACCACTTATGTCATTATAATGAGGTCAGGTCAGGACCGGGTCACTAGATTAATATAAAAGTAATGCAGTACAGTTTTTGACATAAGTGGTCTGCACCCACTAAATCTATCATCTGTTAAGGTGAGCACCAGCTTAATCTTGCGTTTTGGTTGATACTGTTGCTTGTCTGGAGGGTTGGGCTCTTTTCTGTAGTCGATAAGGTGTTTGATCGGATAGTTCACTTATGTGTTTTCGACTTTTCAGACTCTGAAGAAGGCGAGTTTGCCGAAACGTCAGTCTGTATACTGTGGAATAAATATCTGTACCAATCTTGGACGCTGCTAAAGAAACTAATCAGAAGAGTCAACTGAATTTGGACAGGGAAAGAGGAAATAGTGTGCGGAACAAGAGAATCATCTAAAAAGTCTCCCCCCCCCCCCCCCCGGATACATTAAGGGCCGTATGCACTAACCTCCCCGCTGGGGAGGGGTTCGCAGCTTGAAAGAAAGCTTTATATTTCGAAACTCCAGATACCTGGATTTCACGTTGTGTACCTATCCGTAAGTATTCCTACTACCCTTCACTATGAACATGTTGAAGAGGAGCGAGAAGCTGTACGAACCGCATTTTCCAGCTTTTGTATGATCCCTGATGATCCCCGCGCTTTTCTTTAAAGTCATTTTTCTTTCTCCGAATTTAACGAAAACCTTCCAAAGTTGTACTAAACATATAACTCAACAGTGCTAAGCATGTTGCTGATGAGAACAAATGAGTTTTTGAAAACCGAAAATTCGGTAAATATCAAATTTCGACCTGTGGTCATCGAAAATTTCATGACTTCAAATCACCATTTGTTCTTATCAGCAACATTCTTAGCACTGTCGGTTCAGATAATCTGCACAACATTGGAGGTTTTTCTTTAACTTCGGAGAAAGTAAAATGACCTTAAAGAAAAGCGCCGGGGATTATCAGGGATCGTACTAAAACTAGAAAATGCGGTTCGTACAGCTTCTCGCTCCTGTTCAACATGTTCATAGTGAAGGGCAGTAGGAATACCTAAGGATAGGTACACAACGTGAAATCCAGGTATCTGGAGTTTCGAAATATAAAGCTTTCTTTTAAGCTGCGATCCCCTCCCCGCTGGGATGTTAGTGCATGCGGCCCTAAGTAGTTGCAGTAAGCATGATGGGGGTAATGTAGCGTGAATTTTTTTTCACAGAATTTCGATATTATGTGAAATTATGCTCCAAGGGTTATTCGACGCGCATCAATACTCTCTTTATTTAACAACCGCTTAGAAGAGTTCAAAAGTCATGTTTACATAAAGAGCATCAAACATGCCAAGTACATTTTAGACTTGCTCTTCTTTCTTGTATTGAAATGTATCGCAGGGTTTCATTCTGGTCTTGGCAAAAAAGATTCTGCCGTTGCTCAAAATACAGACACCACACGTGCGTATTTGGTATTGAACACCTTCAATTGTTGTCTAAGCATAGAAGCCTCGTAGCTAATAAGGTGGGTGTAAATATTTTTTTTCATCGTTCTAAAGAAATTTAGCCACATCCGGGTTTCGACTATGCAATCGTTGATTGCTTGCACGAGTTGTTGTTCAACAAGACGCTCCAAAGCTATGATAGTTTGGATTTGAAACCATATAGTAACTTTGAACATGTGAGTCCGCTTTTTTACAGACTTTGATCTATAGTTGACATTCTGTTGATTAGTTTTGTCCTGTCATCCGATATGAAGAAACTCAGATTTAGGTTCGCTACCACAGAAATTTCATTTCTCCAGATCCAGACTATCAGCTTCGCTGTGCAACACTAGAAAACGAAGACTACTTTCTTGATACAAACTGACGATTTACATGCTAGATAAAAAGTAATTATCTTGGATTCGTACAAAAGTAAAAAGCATTCCCTTTGCAAATTTTGAAAATGCATGAGCTAAACTATTCGATAGAGCCAAGTTACCACAAAACATCTACAAGATTCTCTTTGAAACGGTGAAATTAAGAAACCAAGATCAAAAGATCTCTTTCAAAAAATTTTGCCAGTTTTACAATCATCTCTATATATATAAAACTCAAAAATTTTCTGTTTGGAGGGTATGTGAGCTATAGAAACACGCGGCTTAACCGATTGGGCTAAAACTTTGCATACAGATGTTCTTGACCCCGAAGACGGTTTTAGGATATTTTTTACTGAAACTCGCTGGGTCCTTCTATCGATTTATTGATTTGTTTACCTTCTTCTGAGGAATTGGAGGCTTATCATGTTTAATCAAGCATTTTCCCATAGTCCTGTAAAGGAGGGCGGTGAAGCTCATTTTCACCTCAGGATCACGAGGATGAGGTTTCGAAGCGGATGTTCCAGGGTAAGTCGACCATAACCTAAAGACGGGGGGGGGGGGGGGATTGCCGTGCAGGTGAACAGTAACCCGGGCTGGACCGGGAAAGCCAACTAGTTCATTATATAGTAGACACATAGCACAATACATCAGTTGCTAGAGTTCCGAGGCTGGATACTAAAATGCAAAAGTTGGCTACAACTGCGAAGTTCTCGTTTAGTTTCGATATTTTATGCTAATGACTATTTTTCGATGCGCATACAGATATACCTGAAATCAGATAAGATATATACTACTTCCAAAGGTATAGAATTTACTCATTTATTTATTTATTTATTTATTCAAAATACACCAAAGGTGTGCTAAAAAAGAACACAAGTAATCATGTTACACAAGTGTTCACGATAGACAGGTGAGACAGGTAAAATGCTCCGCCCAAAGTGCAGGTCGTTATCCTTCTTCTGTGGCGATTCCTCTGCCGAAATCTTGTTCCCTTACCCGGACGCGTTGGATGACCGCAGTTACCAGGGCTGGCTGACCACTTAACCCTTTGCGGACGAAGCGAGCGAGAAGGGGGGATTTCAAGGAAGAGGGGCACGCCAGCTTCAGTTTCCTCAAACGGCTGAGCGAAGAGACAGCAAACCTGTCTGGATATCTTAAAAAAACGATAAAAATGAATTTGTAGATTTTTCTGGGCCAAATTCCTTTTTCTGAGGCAGTCAAATTTTTGGATCTTCGCTTCAAACTCTATTCGGATTACGATTTACATGATTATCTTGCAGTTAATTTGTAAAACATGCTTTGCTCTATCGCACAGTTCCCTTATGCATCTTCATATTCGAACTGCGGCTGCAGCAAAGCGCTCATTACTTTCACCAACCTAAGAATCAAAGGTGATTGTGATTTATAAGCATGGCTGCTGCACAAGCTGTGATTTTCATTTTTGCAATAAAGTGTGCGTACTTCAAGTGCATTTTAAAAATAAACAAAATAATCTAAGCCGACTATTCCAGAATATTTTACAATGCTCATGTAATCGTTACTTGTTGAAGCCCTTCAGGTGAAAAGCTGGTGGACATTTGCATGAAAGTTTCGCTCTTGCTCTTGCGCGCGCAAATGTCGCTTCTTACGTGGAAAGAGTTCTACTGCTGCTTTATCAGAGCATCACAACCAGTAATCTTTATTTATAGTTGAGAAAATTTAACCATTCATACACTCTACCATTTTGTTTTTTTGAAAGATTTGAAGGTTTGCGCTTTATGATAGATGTTCAATGGATAGATGTCCCATCAAAAAGATGGAAGCCTGGATTTTACAGTATTCCAATAGTAGACCCTCCAGAAAGTCTATCAGTAAAGTCTGGAACGTACAAGCGCTTCTATAAAGCCCGAAATCCGCTCCGAAAGCCTTCCAGACTCTACCCATTTCTTACAGGTAATTTTGAGCGAACGCGGATGCGGAGGGCTTCGAAAAATCTCATGCAATTTTTAAGCGCTGCAAAGCTGGCGCTCCGAAGAGGTGGAAAACCAAGGAGCGAAATTTTGAGGGACGCTGCCTATAAATTTCTACAAGCTAACCACCGAGATTGAAATTTCTGAAGGATAGCGTTTCAGAATTGCTAGAGTTTGTTGCAGCGGAAGCCTTGCTAACCCCACAAAATCTGTAGAAGTTCTTTATATAGCAGTATTCTATATCACTGTGGCTTCAGTCTCGCTTGGACTGCAAAAAAAAGTCCGTGGAAAGTATAAAGAGAAAGTCTTTATTACTGCTTTTTGAGCAAAAACACTGTCTTGAGCTCGAAAAAAAAACGCCACAGTGTTTTAGGTAAAACGAGGTCAAAATTGGGGCTACGCTGACAACTCCGATCTTTAACACTAGACCCAAAATTCCTCGCTCCCTGCGGTCAGCTTCAAAAATCTATTATCAAATATCTATCATAGAGACCAATTATTCTTACTAAGCTGAATGCGCGAGTTCTAGGTGCAGTAGTCGTAACCAGTTGGTCTCAGCTGGTAGACGAACACGTGCCCACCTCATTGGTGTCTTCCCCGTGGACTTTTGCTTTCGCAAGAAATCCACTCAGACCTTCTAAGTATCCCTACGTCGTCTGTTCTTCTAAGCGACATATCGATGTTTGTTACAGCCTACTCCCTAAATCGAAGACATAGCTTTCCTTGAACCCGTGTTGCAAGTTTTGGTGAGGGGTCGCTTGCATCTGGTTATTCTCAAAAGTGTGCTCAAGCCTTTTGTGGGTATGCCGTAGAGCTTTCGACGTCCGTAAAATATTGGCCTAGATCACAGCTGCGTGGAGCGTTGGGAAAGCGTGAGTGAGTCAAGTGGGCTAAAAGTTTCAGGTCCGTCAGCCGCATGGCTAACTTTATTAGAGGTCCAAAGGTGACCCGCTTCTCTTTTTTTTGTTAACTTTCCTCAGATCGATCTTTCTGTTCATCAAACGACCTAAGCACAAGAAGACGTCTACGCTTCAAAAATGCTTCCCTGTGTCGCCTCGTCGTACCCCCTTCTTGATTGCGAGGTCAGAGGACGAGAATATGGCAGCTGCATTGTTGTACAGTACTTGAGCAATCAATCAATGTCCTCACGTGAGCTGGGTCTACTTCTTGATCGGCTAACACTGAAAAGATCGTTGGTTTCGATGCTGTCAATGGCATTTTGTATCGGCGAATAAGACGACAGAGAGCGTAAGCCAAGGTGCGGATTCTCTTGCGAGATGGACACCAAATAGCGCCATTTTCTCAGAAAGTCCTCTGAATTTGAATTTTTGAAGAAATGCGCAAGATGGTTGTCGGCATTGTTCAATCTTTTATTTTAAAATATAAGCAAATAGTGAAATGGAACATAAATATTAGGTCGGATAATTTCTGTTACACTTTTTCTAAAATTTCTAGGAAATTCCAGAAGCTTTCTGAAAAACCCAAATTTACAAAACGTTTAGGACATAGCAGGGTCTACCCATTACATGATCGATGCCGCAAGTGCACTAATGACCAACAAGTTTACGGCAGTTTTGTAAAAGCAGTCAAATTTTCAATATTTTTCTGACCTTTTTCTCTGCACCTACATGCGCTTTTCCTCTTCCAGAATTTTTTTAGAACGTATTTTGGCATTGTCTCTCATATGGAGTCATTTCGGTGCCTCAAACGTTTCAAAAACGAGGGGTGAAAAAAATATCAAAAAAATTCAAAAATTTTCCCAAATTCTTCTTTTTATGCGCATCGTATAGAAATGAATACAGAAAACATAAAAATGATTTTTAGAAATTTTTTGAAGGTGTTTTCTTCGCAAAAATTCCGATGATTGCAAAGATGGCGCACACTGAGATTTGAACCGCTTAGAAAAACGTGTGCAAACATGCCTGCGTTATCCCCCCCCCCATCTTAGCTAAACGCTACAGACTATGTCCTACCTGATTACCCCATTGTCCGGTCTATCGCTCATCACCTGAGAGAACGCCAGCTCATTTACAAAAATAGGAAGAAACGGAATTTTAGCCACAAAGTGAATGTTTTGCGCATGGATCGCGGATGCGACAGTACCCTTGTATAGGCCTTTTGACCCTGCCCATAAACCGTGAACATGAGATCTTTCCAAAGCTTCTGAAATTTTCAAGAATTAGAATAAAAATTTAACAGAAATTATCCGGCAACCTAATATATTAGGTTGAACCGAAAGTTCTGTCGTACCATATTCAAAAAATCATAACTTCTTTCAGTCAGGACGATTTTGCGCAATTCAAATTTTATCTGAAAGCGTAAAGCATGTAGTTTCCAACAGCTCCCTAGGAATTTTCCGACATGCTCAGGTGGCAGAGATAAAAATGAAAGAACGAGATCACCCGAAATTCGGAATTTTTAAGCAAGAATTCTAGAAATTCAGAAACAGTGCGATACAATGTAGAAGAACCATTATCCTAATTTTTCTTACATTTGATTACTAACTGAGTCAAGTTTGTGCTGATCGAGGTCTTCTTTTAGAAGTTATGAATTTTTGAAAAAAATGCCAAAAAATCCATTTCTTAGGAATTCTTAGGAAATTGATTTTTCGGCATTATTTTTCAAAAAAACATAACTTTTGAAGGAAGGGCTCGACCAGCACAAACTTGACTCAGATAGTAATCAAATGTAAGAAAAATTAGAATAATGGCTTTTTTGGATTTTATCGCACACTTTCTGAATTTCTAGAATTCTTGCTCAAAAATTCCAAATTTCGAATAATCTCGTTCTTTCATTTTTATCTCTGCCATCTGAGCATGTCGGAAACTGCCTAGGGAGCTATTGGAAACTACATGCTTTACGCTTTCAGATAAAATTTGATTTGCGCAAAATCGTCCTGACTGAAAGAAGTTATGATTTTTTGAATATGGTACGACAGAACTTTCGGTTCAACCTAATATGAGGTCAAGAAAGCTTGAGAAAGCAATGATGGCAATTTCTTGAACATATCAATTAATTTTTTAAGGCCGTCTTACTCAGTAAGTCAAAAAATACTTTAGATAGTCAAAAAGGAG